CAACACAGCTAAGCTTAACGTTGGAAGATCCTTCGACAGTTAAGCTGAGGAATGCGGATCCCATGGTCAGTTCTCATGTTATTTACGATGCTAATTCGCTATCCGTCTCTACGCTTGCGCGTAACCAATCTAAACTATAAACAAAACACAGTTTAAAACCCTGTTTATCCCTGTGTCGTCCCGCAAGACATCCAGTCATCTATAGATGGTAGCTATATCTCTAGCTATGTGTTTTGTTTATAGTTTAGATTACGTGTAACCGCATTAATGAATAGCAAAGTAGTATCGATAATGAGATAAGAGAAGATGAAAGCTGATCAATTAAACCCGCATTCCTTCCAGGACCATTCTTTCGTGCAACAAACAGTATAAGAGACTCTCTTGCGTTCGCACGCGGAGATTTTCTGGATCAAGCAGTCGCTTGTCGTCGAAGCCGTCGCTTTGGTGCAGCAGAAAAAGGACCATGACGGGTTTTCGTGGAAAAGAACGCTCTCTGCTCGTGGCCTCACGGGGGATATCGGCCGCGGAAAGAACATCCTCGCAAAAGAACGAGCGAGACCGAGGGAACGGACGGGGGACGGACCACGAGCCTTATAAAATACTTACAACCATTCCCGGGTGACGTTAAGTATGATAGTTGCTTTTTGCATCTCTCCGGGAATGGCGGCCCCGGTTATTTATTGGCCGATGGGGCCACGGGTTTAAAAATCATCCCTCCGTTGTCGGACGACTCCTCGAGCCGACGCTGCGCGCGCTTGCAACCCCCGTGAATCAAACGGTCGCTTCCTTTGAACCATCTTCCGTCCTTTGCGCACAATTTTCTGCGACGTCCGGTGCACCGTTTCATTGTGATCTCGAAAATATACACGTTTCACAAATATCCAGGAAAATTTGTAAAAAGAAATTCTATGTTCACGATTTCTGAGAATATTTTTGTGGAAATATTTTCGTTCATAAACGTCCGTTAACAGTTCAAACGAAGAATATCTTTTGTTCCAGTTTCGAGTCGAGATCGCGACTAACAGGTGATTACGCCACCGCATTCACCGCACGAGAGTCGTACACAATCTGTATAGCTTCGTTATTTTCTTTAATCGCGCTCTTAATACGGGTGCACTTGCGGCGTTCCGAGTGAATATCTTACAATACACGTTTCTTTATTCGACGTGCAGATGAAATACGACCGGTACGTTATACACGAATTTCACCAGTGGAACGTTAACCGTGCCCGAAGAGAGGGAAAATGGAAGGGAAGAACATGTCCGGATAGTTTTGCGGTCGTATAGCTCTTTAAATCAACCCTAGCCAGCTTGTCAGCCGCGCGGCGCGCGTTCCCTTTCGCGGCGCACAAATTACGGCGCGTTTAATTACCGCCCGATATCTGAAGGGGAGCCATTAATCACCCCGTCGATAACCCGTAATTTTCCAGCAAGGATAAAATCTGTCGCGCGACACTCGTTCCGCGGCTCGACGCGTTCGCCAAGCGGCAGCGGCCTTTGAAACTGTCCCCGAATGATGTCCCTTGTCATTTCGTGAATTTTCGAAATTCGAACAAGGAAACGGTGGCCTGGAGAATTCCCGGTGACATCTCGAAGGTTTGGAACTTGGAGGACCCGAGAGTCTCGAACGAGGAAGGAGACCGGTCATATTGGTTCGAAAGATTTTTAACCGCGATTCTTGGTCGCCTGTCCTCTTAGAGAGACACCGGTGATCCGATGGCCTTTCTACCCGTTGACTATGTAGATACCGACGATCGGCTTCTCTTCGGTAGCCCGTCTGGTTTTTTGGTAGCAGTTTGCCGGAGTCCCACCGCCACCGAGTCCAGCCTGCCTGCCCTAAGGCCACTCTTTCCTTACGAAGAAGGAACGGTGGATGGACCGTGCGCAGCGACGGCTTCGAGCTGCCTTAAATCACGTTAGACAACTAGCGCGATAGTGGAAATGTTTACTTTTACCGTTTCTCTTCTTCAAATTTATTTTCGATCGTGACGATTCGATGCACACTCTTTATAAACTTTTGCATGGCAAAGTTTGCGTGGTGTGAAGGTGATTTGTTTTCTATGGGATAGTATTATTTTCTCTCTTAATTGCCAGTTTTACAGTGATTTATTCGCTTTTCGTGTACAAATGACATTTTTAATTTGGACCACCGGTTTGGGTATCGAAGATTCGGAATATATCGAGTTGCCTCGACTGGACAGGATCTTCAAAACCCTACTTTAATGGAGTATATGATTATTATTTGTTGGAACTAGACATTTTTCTTGGATTCTTATAGCTATCATTCGTTCATTTTTAATATCTTCGGAGACCGTATTTATAGATTATTCCGGTACAGTTTGCCGCAGTGTGCACCTTGCAGGGGACGATTTTTACACGTCCGATCGTTTAAATAGACATTGCGACCGTCAATAAAATTGTTTGAGCGCCGTTTGATGCGGGCGCGTGCTGGACGCGTCGAAGGAACATGTTACAGCTGCGCGTCCATGATGATATGGGAAGAAAAATAACAAATTACGATTATTGCTGTCATAACGTTTTTATTATGCAGCTAAGCAGTCCGACAAGGATACCGATTAATTAAATTTATCGTTACAAGAGAGTTCTGGTGTGAAGTAAAAGTTCGAATATGGCGATGCAACATGGCAGATCGATTCGTTTGTGTAACGCGGATAACGAACTTCGTCGCGACCAGTTCACTTCTTTATTTCTCTAACGCGATAAAGGTTACGCGTAAATATAAAAAATATATGGAAGCGATCTGAGGATTTCTCGTCGATCAAAAGGAACACGAAACCTAGAGGTCCGGCTTGTGTGACGAGGCAGTTCTCACCAATGACGTAACTCCAAGAAATTTCGGGAATAACGGAGGGAGATGCCCAAGGTCATCAATATATCTCAATCCTGGTTTCTTGATAATAATGTAATCATGGCTGATTTGCATATCAGATTCAACGTTTTAAGAGGACAAGCGTGACCTTTAGAAGCTTCGCAGTTCGATGGGAACGTGTCCGAAAAAATGTCTTCTTTTCCATGGTTTCGACTGCGCTTACATCCAGTCGAATCCATCACGAACGAGGTTGCGACTCGAATAACCAGAAACACAGGAAAAGGTTCTGGTTCTCGGTGACAACGTTCTATTCCAAGGAAAGTCCGGTAAAATGATAACCAATGTGCCAGTTATTCCCCAGGTTTTCGATAATATTTCGAACATACAATTAAATACCGGGTTCGTGGAAAATGTCAACGTGAGGGGGGCAGGGTTTAAAATCGATTTCGAATCGACAAGAAAGCTCGAGACTGTTCCATCAAGAGTAGGTCTTGCGAGTGGTTCGTATCCATCGTCCGGCTAAGCCGAGCACCCGGCATATGAGCAGATCGTGCGGGAGAGAAAGATCAAGCGCTCCACCCACGCCCATGTTTCAACCTGTTCTGTTTCTGCCGCCGGGCCGCGGTTACAGGTGCCTCCCCGAGGGCATTCCTGCTGGAATTCTTCACCGATGATCCTCGCCGGAGCCCTCCTGCAAATTCTCTCCTGTAGCCGTGTCGCGGTTTACCGACGCGGATCGAAATCATCCGAGGGATTCTTCGCCAGCTACGAAACACTCGAACGATCCTCGAGCCGAGAAAGGAAAAAAAGAGAAGTCGGAAAGACGAAAGCACAGAAAGAGAGAGAAGTCGAGTCCCATTTCTCTCCGTTCGTCTTGGAAGAAACGAAACGGCATGACCCACGGGGAACATCGACGCGCGGCGATCTAACGGGCCGATTAAGTTTCTCCTCTCTAATGAAACGCGGCGGCGTTAATCGCGTTACGTAATCGGTGACGCAAAAGTTCGAAGAGGCCGGTTTCCTCGAACACCGCGTTCGAATCGGCCTCTCGAAAAACGTAACCGTAGCCCTGGCCGTTAAGCATTTCCTAAATGCCCTTCGATACGCGCGCCCG